ATTTCCTTCGGGTTGCGACCAATTTGGGGTGCGACCAGAGTCACAGAACGAATTAAGTTCGTAAACCGAGGTTCAACTGTATGTGTTAGTGTCACTGATAATGTCAACCAAAGAAATAAGAAAGTGGCAACAATTTTTCTTGATATGGAAAAAGCTTTCAATAATTTGGAATGGCCCTTCACATTCACAACCTTGAGAAAGATGAACTGCGGTTCAAATTTTCGTTCATGGATTCCAAGAATTTATAAGCCAATTTAATTGTAAATGTCACAAAAAATGCTATTATGAAAGGGACAAGATAACATTGTCTCCTTTCTCCTCTGTTTTTACTGGCCTTAGAACCACTGGTAAGAAAGATACAACAAAAGAGTAAAATTTCAGGAATTAAACTGGCAAATCAAGAGCATAAATTAAAAGTATATGGTGTTGATATGTACTCACAGTTACTCAACTAAAAGAGTCCTTAGAATCAACAATGGAACATATACAACAGTATCAAGATACCAGATTAGTAAGAATAAGACACAGATGATTACATGGAATCTATCTGAAGAGGAAAAACAGCATTTGAAAAAAACAATAGGCTTTAATATCAGTACTAAACTGATCAAGTACTTTGGAATTTATTAGCTAGAAACAGTAAAGATTTATTCAAAAATAATTATTTGCAGATCTGGAAAAATAATAATGGCTAATATTTTAAGATGGAAAAAGCTAATCTTATCTTGGCTAGGAAGAATATTGGCAGTAAAAATTAATATTTTAACAGGGATTAATTTTTTATTCCAAATGATCCTAACAAGCATTTAAGAAAATATGTTGAATGAATGACAAAGATAAATGAATAACAGACTAAGGATTGTTTATGATACAAAAGAATAAATACACCAGTGTACCAAATGTTAACTTATATTATCAATTTGGTTGTCTGACCAAGATTATGGATTGGATTATATCTTCATATGATTGGATTACTTCTATGGAAGGAGCAGGACTTCCAAAAAGCCTGCACAAATATCTCTGGTCTGATAAATATAGAATTAAATTATAAATAGGTTATTAAAAGTATGGACAAATATAAAAGAAGGATAAGCCCAGGTCTATCTCCTCTTGCTTCAAAATTAAATATTTACTTGCATGAATATACGAAAAAAAAATTAGTGAAGAGATAATACACTGCAAGATTTAACCTTTAATAAAACAAAGATGAAATCTTTCAAGAGTCTCTCTTCAGAATAGTCAGAAATACCTCATTGGTTTCAATATCATCAAATAAGTAATACAGTTCCTTTTGAAATACAAAAACAAAGTGGCATACTTAGAGATTTTACTGAATTTGAAATGCTTATGCCACAAGTCAGAACCGCTGTTTGGGTTTATACATGTTACTGAAACATGATTCAGAAACTGAACAAGTCAAAGACTGTATGATTAAATGGATGCAGAATTTAAACAGGACAACTGACAGGTAACAATGGGAATATCAATGGAAGCTAAATATTAAGTTTACTGTGAATCATTTAGAGCAGTGATTCTCAACCTTTTTGCAGCTGCCACCCCCCTAAGGAGCGGAAAATTTTTCAATGCCACCCTTTGTGAAAATCCTGTA